GATCCAAACTTGAGTTGTTTTTCTATTTCATCATCAGAGAGAGGTAGATGGTATTCTGGCTCAGTGTGGTTGCTGACTGACGTGATCATAAGAATATAATAAAACACAACAGAAAATAATACAACAGAATAGAACCAACCAAGTGACAATAATAGGTCTAATTCACCCTCTTTGTATGTTATTAGTGTACCTTCTCCGCTATGCAATCCGGTTTCCGAGCTGGTCATGGGTGCACTTCAGCCACGCTCAAGGTCCTAAACGATATTATAACCGCGATCGATAATAGACAGTACTGTGCAGCCGTTTTCATTGACCTGGCCAAGGCTTTCGACTCTGTCAACCACCGCATTCTTATTGGCAGACTAAATAGCCTTGGTTTCTCAAATGACTGCCTCGCCTGGTTCACCAACTACTTCTCAGATAGAGTTCAATGTGTCAAATCGGAGGGCCTGTTGTCTGGACCTATGGCAGTCTCTATGGGGGTGCCACAGGGTTCAATTCTTGGGCCGACTCTTTTCTCTGTGTATATCAATGACGTCGCTCTTGCTGCTGGTGACTCTCAGATCCACCTCTACGCAGACGACACCATTTTGTATACATCTGGCCCTTCATTGGACACTGTGTTAACAAACCTCCAAACGAGCTTCAATGCCATACAACACTCCTTCAGTAGCCTCCAACTGCTCTTAAACACTAGTAAAACTAAATGCATGCTCTTCAACCGAACGCTGCTTGCACCCGCCCACCCGACTAGAATCACTACTCTCGACGGGTCTGACCTAGAGTATGTGGACAACTACAAATATCTAGGTGTCTGGTTAGACTGTAAACTCTCCTTCCAGACTCACATTAAGAATCTCCAATCCAAAGTTAAATCTAGAATCGGTTTCCTATTTCGCAACAAAGCCTCCTTCACTCATGCTGCCAAACATGCCCTCGTAAAACTGACTATCCTACCGATCCTTGACTTCGGCCATTTACAAAATAGCCTCCAACACTCTACTCAGCAAATTGGATGTAGTCTATCACAGTGCCATCCGTTTTGTCTCCAAAGCCCCATATACTACCCACCACTGTGACCTGTACGCTCTTGTTGGCTGGTCCTCACTACATATTCGTCGCCAAACCCACTGGCTCCAGGTCATCTATAAATCACTGCTAGGCAAATCCCCGCCTTATCTTAGCTCATTGGTCACCATAGCAACACCCACCCGTAGTCTGCGCTCCAGCAGGTATATCTCACTGGTCATCCCCAAAGCCAACACCTCCTTTGGCCGCCATTCCTTCCAGTTCTCTGCTGCCAATGACTGGAACAAACTGCAAAAATCTCTGAAGCTGGAGACACTTATCTCCCTCACTAACTTTAAGCATCAGTTGTCAGAGCACTTTACCGATCACTGCACCTGTACACAGCCCATCTGAAATTAGCCCGCCCAACTACCTCATCCCTATATTGTTATTTATTTTGCTCATTTGTACCCCAGTATCTCTATTTGCACATCATCTCTTGCACATCTATCATTCCAGTGTTAATACTAATTGTAATTATTTTGCACTATAGCCTATTTATTGCCTTACCTCCATAACTTGCTACATTTGCACACACTGTATATATATGTATTTCTGTTGTATTTTTGACTTTGTTTTGTTTTACCCCATATGTAACGCTGTGTTGTTGTTTTTATCGCACTGCTTTGCTTTATCTTGGCCAGGTCGCAGTTGTAAATGAGAACTTGTTCTCAACTGGTTTACCTGGTTAAATAAAGGTGAAAAAAAAAAAAAAAAAAAAAAAAAAAGAAGTCTATTTCCGACATGTTGCGGTGTCTTCATGTTTGTGTCATTCTCAGCAGGGTTGTTTTTGAATGTTAGGAAAGATGGAAGGAGGGCAGTGGACAGACACCCTCAGCGTTATACCGCTGGTATGTGGGCACTGAGAGGTAGCTGCTTGTAGGCAGGTCTACTGTAGTCTAATGAATCCACCGCACTGATTCAGAAGTCGACGGTTTACGCTGCTGTGGTATTCTTTTATCGCGGATTTCATTTATTTCATTGGCTTCTTCGGCGAAAGCGCTCCAGTGCTGTTGATAGGCTATTTTCAGTCTGATATTATATCCTAGACATATGATTGGTGGACTTTCTTGTGAGCCGATCTTTGACAAACGGGATGCTACGACTATCCCGGGGTGAATCACATCCCACTGGTTACTGTCCCTGTCAGTCTGTACACTCTCTCTTGCGATTGGTGTTATGACAGCGCGGTGGACCTGCCCAGTCGTACCTGTCTCGTTGTGAGAGGCTGAGCTCTCTTCCTGGTCCTGCTATCCTCCGTGCTCCCGCCCTACCATCAACTTCCAAGGAGGAACCACTAGTCGGGTCGCGTGTCCTACTGCGGTACTGCAACCCCGGCTGCTATGTGACTCCATCGGGGGAACTTGGTTTTGAATTAGAGGTCCGGTTATACCAAGGATAGGGTTCTGGTGCACCGTAGGTCATTGGAAGTAAAACGAGAGGTGCAGATAGGGTGTGAGGGGCTTCGACAGTGGCGCGTGGCAGTAGGGGGGGATTTCTCTCTTTCCTATCCGATCTGCCTATAACGGGGTCTGACGTAGAATATGGCGGAACATCACTCCGTTTCAGATAGCAAGCGTAAAGCTTCTGCCGCGAATATTGGAGCTTCGTTCTCCGGGAATGGACGGACCAGTCCAGCGGGGAGCGTCGGTAACAGTCCAGCGGGGGCTCTCTCCACCGCGATAGTTCAGCCGGCAGGGTGGCAGTCTTTACTGTCGTTCACCATCCTGTTTCTGGCCTGGATTGCTGGTTTCAGTGCCAGGCTCTTCGCTGTCATCCGCTTTGAGAGCATCATTCACGAGTTTGACCCTTGGTGAGTAAACAGGAACACGACATTCTGGCCTGCAGTAGACTTTAGATCATTAACATCGATAATGGAGAATGTAGCCAAAATATGTTGCTATAATTGATCTAGCGCTGATATCGTTTTTGGCAAAACAGCAGACGGAGGAGCAGTGCAACATTGTATCAACTCAGCCACGCACTTAGCCTTTTGTAGTAGTTCCAGTGTGATGATGCGTTGTAGCAATAACTGTGTGTAAACATAGCGACTGTGCCTGTCGGAGTGGGGCACAGCGTGCGTCTTCATAAAGAGGACAATGGTGCGGTGTGAGTGACACAGCGGATTGAACCCGGAAAGAAGAAGCTGTAGCCTATAGCCTAGCTAGCCTATATGCGTTTCCTCATTTATTATCCAACTGTTTGGCAAGATCTTACACAACAACTAGACTTTTACTGTTCGCGTTTTCTTCCAGGATAAGCTATTCGGCCATAAGCAGAAATATGCATTTTGACATGTATAACATGACGGATGTCTATAGGCAACTCTCAGTTTAAACAATGGCCAGGCCTGCCGTCTGTCCATTCATCAAATAGCTGACACCTGCTGTGGTCAAAAGCAGTGCACTACATGGGAAATAGGGTGCCATTTGGGTGAAACAGTCTGCTAGTAAGAGGAGCATAATTAATTTAGCCTATACTATTGGCATTAAAATAGGAATTATACCTACATAATGACACTGAAAGGACCTGTTGTAGAGAACTAGGAAATCATCAGTGAGACCAATGCATCCTCCTCATATGAGAGGAGACAGAGAGACCAATGCATCCTCCTCATATGAGAGGAGACAGACCAATGCATCCTCCTCATATGAGAGGAGACAGACCAATGCATCCTCCTCATATGAGAGGAGACAGACCAATGCCTCCTCCTCATATGAGAGTTGGCAGACCAATGCATCCTCCTCATATGAGCGGAGATAGTGTGAAAGGCTATTGCCAAGCGAAAGCCAGCGTTGCATCATCTGTTGACAGTGTTGGGGTTATTTTAGAATGACCACTATGGAATAAACATAGTTTCATGTCAACCATTTGATGCAGGTGAAGAAGAGCGGAAAGAAAAAGACTAATCATATTCTCTCCAGACCTTTACCAGCTCCCTGTTCTATTACACCTGCATTACACCTGCATTACACCTGCATTACACCTGTATTACACCTGCATTACACCTGCATTACACCTGCATTACACCTGCATTACTATAGGAACCAACCTACACTACACCGAGTACAATATGCATGTGAGGTTAGCTTTTGGTTAGGTTGGAGTTGGACACAAATAAATATATTACTACATATTACATGTGGGGATTGTTTTAACCTTTGGTGCCGTGTGTCCTCTCCATTAGGGTTCCTCTAACTAGCATAGTCTCTCATACAGAGAGCAGAGAGGAAACCCGGTGAACTAACATCACCGTTTCCCTGTTTCTGGTGTTTGTGATGCTCTTTTAATGATGACATGTGGGCCTAGGTCTTCATATTCCCTCAGTTGAGGATGGACGAATGGGACGTCTTAATACCCAGACAGCGGTGGGTCTTGGCAGGGCAGCAGGGGGACTGTGGTGTTCATTAGAACCAACCAAAGTAGAAAACCGGAGCGTTTTGCTGTTGCAGACTTTGAAAAGTCCAGACACCAGCCTGTGTTGTTATCTTCTCTAAATGTCTGCAGAAGTGATTATCTATTGAGGCACCTCGCAAGTGTTCCAGTCAGACAACATGGTTGGTGTGTTAGTGTTCCAGTCAGACAACATGGTGGTATGTTAGTGTTCCAGTCAGACAACATGTTGGTGTGTTAGTGTTCCAGTCAGACAACATGTTGGTGTGTTAGTGTTCCAGTCAGACAACATGGTGGTGTGTTAGTGTTCCAGTCAGACAACATGGTGGTGTGTTAGTGTTCCAGTCAGACAACATGGTGGTGTGTTAGTGTTCCAGTCAGACAACATGGTGGTGTGTTAGTGTTCCAGTCAGACAACATGGTGGTGTGTTAGTGTTCCAGTCAGACAACATGGTGGTGTGTTAGTGTTCCAGTCAGACAACATGGTTGGTGTGTTAATGTTCCAGTCAGACAACATGGGTGGTGTGTTAGTGTTCCAGTCAGACAACATGGTGGTGTGTTAGTGTTCCAGTCAGACAACATGGGTGGTGTGTTAGTGTTCCAGTCAGACAACATGGTTGGTGTGTTAATGTTCCAGTCAGACAACATGGTTGGTGTGTTAATGTTCCAGTCAGACAACATGGTTGGTGTGTTAGTGTTCCAGTCAGACAACATGGTTGGTGTGTTAGTGTTCCAGTCAGACAACATGGTGGTGTGTTAGTGTTCCAGTCAGACAACATGGTGGTGTGTTAGTGTTCCAGTCAGACAACATGTTGGTGTGTTAGTGTTCCAGTCAGACAACATGTTGGTGTGTTAGTGTTCCAGTCAGACAACATGGGTGGTGTGTTAGTGTTCCAGTCAGACAACATGGTTGGTGTGTTAGTGTTCCAGTCAGACAACATGGGTGGTGTGTTAATGTTCCAGTCAGACAACATGGTTGGTGTGTTAGTGTTCCAGTCAGACAACATGGTTGGTGTGTTAGTGTTCCAGTCAGACAACATGGGTGGTGTGTTAGTGTTCCAGTCAGACAACATGGTGGTGTGTTAGTGTTCCAGTCAGACAACATGGTGGTGTGTTAGTGTTCCAGTCAGACAACATGGTGGTGTGTTAGTGTTCCAGTCAGACAACATGGTGGTGTGTTAGTGTTCCAGTCAGACAACATGGGTGGTGTGTTAATGTTCCAGTCAGACAACATGGTTGGTGTGTTAGTGTTCCAGTCAGACAACATGGTTGGTGTGTTAGTGTTCCAGTCAGACAACATGGTTGGTGTGTTAGTGTTCCAGTCAGACAACATGGTTGGTGTGTTAGTGTTCCAGTCAGACAACATGGGTGGTGTGTTAGTGTTCCAGTCAGACAACATGGTTGGTGTGTTAGTGTTCCAGTCAGACAACATGGGTGGTGTGTTAGTGTTCCAGTCAGACAACATGGTTGGTGTGTTAGTGTTCCAGTCAGACAACATGGGTGGTGTTTTAGTGTTCCAGTCAGACAACATGGGTGGTGTGTTAGTGTTCCAGTCAGACAACATGGTTGGTGTGTTAGTGTTCCAGTCAGACAACATGGTTGGTGTGTTAGTGTTCCAGTCAGACAACATGGTTGGTGTGTTTGTGTTCCAGTCAGACAACATGGTTGGTGTGTTAGTGTTCCAGTCAGACAACATGGTGGTGTGTTAGTGTTCCAGTCAGACAACATGGTTGGTGTGTTAGTGTTCCAGTCAGACAACATGGTTGGTGTGTTAGTGTTCCATAATGAATAGGAATCTAATCTAGAAAGGATGTATTTCTTTTTGTCTCCTTGACTGATTAGATTTTCTTTCTTTTACTCCAGTTGTAATTGTTCTCTTGTTTGGTGAATAATGGAATGTGATGAGTGTTTGAAAGAGAGGCAGGCAGAAAGATGTGAAATGTGGGTTGCTTTAAAATAATACAATGCAAGCTTGTTCTCTGGCCTGGCTGAGGTCATGAACAATCCAACCTCGGTGTTGTGTTGGTGGGTCAGTCAATAACCTGTGTGTGTGTGTGGCCTGTAGGACCTCAGTGTGTAGATGGTGGGGTCAGGAGACATTGTTAGTGGGTTAGCAGTGTTGACACAGATCTGCTCCTGGCTGAAACATAACAACACTGACTGTGTGGGAGCAGGTCCTCAATAGAGGTCAAGTTCCAGAGTGCCTGTGGTGTAGATTACATAAACTTGAGTATTGTCCATCTTTTTTCTAAGTCATCTTTTTGAAGGTATTTTTTGAGTGTGGGCCTAGTGTGTTGTTGTGTGTTCTGGAGTCCCCATGGTTTAGACATCAACTAAGAACCCTTGGGAGGGTGGGAGGAGTCCCCATGGGTTAGACATCAACTAAGAACCCTTGGGAGGGTGGGAGGAGTCCCCAGGGTGGGAGGAGTCCCCATGGGTTAGACATCAACTAAGAACCCTTGGGAGGGTGGGAGGAGTCCCCATGGTTTAGACATCAACTAAGAACCCTTGGGAGGGTGGGAGGAGTTCCCAGGGTGGGAGGAGTCCCCAGGGTGGGAGGAGTCCCCAGGGTGGGAGGAGTCCCCATGGTTTAGACATCAACTAAGAACCCTTGGGAGGGTGGGAGGAGTCCCCAGGGTGGGAGGAGTCCCCAGGGTGGGAGGAGTCCCCATGGGTTAGACATCAACTAAGAACCCTTGGGAGGGTGGGAGGAGTCCCCAGGGTGGGAAGAGGCCCCATGGTGGGAGGAGTCCCCAGGGTGGGAGGAGTCCCCATGGTTTAGACATCAACTAAGAACCCTTGGGAGGGTGGGAGGAGTCCCCAGGGTGGGAGGAGTCCCCATGATTTAGACATCAACTAAGAACCCTTGGGAGGGTGGGAGGAGTCCCCAGGGTGGGAGGAGTCCCCAGGGTGGGAGGAGTCCCCATGGTTTAGACATCAACTAAGAACCCTTGGGAGGGTGGGAGGAGTCCCCAGGGTGGGAGGAGTCCCCAGGGTGGGAGGAGTCCCCATGATTTAGACATCAACTAAGAACCCTTGGGAGGGTGGGAGGAGTTCCCAGGGTGGGAGGAGTCCCCAGGGTGGGAGGAGTCCCCATGATTTAGACATCAACTAAGAACCCTTGGGAGGGTGGGAGGAGTCCCCATTGACGGTGGCATAGATAGACTGCCTGTTGAGTCTAGTGAGTGATACACTTGGAGAGAAACAGTATCGGAGTCCCAAATGGCTCCCTATATAGTGCACTACTTTTGAACGGGGCTCTGGTCAAAAGTAGTGCACTATATAGGGAATAGGGTGCTATTTGGGAGGTAGAAAGGGTTTTACTGCAGAGAGAAATTTAATGGAAGTTAAGGTCGGGTCTAGAGCTGTGAGGGGCAGAAACTGTTGTTCATGTCGGGTCTGAAGCTGTGAGGGGCAGAAACTGTTGTTCATGTCGGGTCTGGAGCTGTGAGGGGAAAAAACATATCAGATGGCCTTTTTTTCTCTCTCTCTCTCTCCAAACCCGCTAGATACAACATAGAGAGCAGCTGTACACAAGGATGCCCCGCACTCGCTCGAAAGAAAAATCTATCTCTGACCTTCTCTCTATATCTCACACCCTCTCCTCTCTATCCCTCTCCTCCCCCTCTCTCTCTGCCCCTTCTCTCTCCCCCCCTCTCTCTCTCCCCCTCTCATTTCCTCTCTCTCTCCCTCCCTCCCCATCTTCTCCAATTCGATGACTAACTACTCAGAGTAACTGCCTCCATGTTGACTGTGTTCTCTACTGCACATTGTCACATTGCATTTTCGCTCTCTTGGAATGCTTGTTGGTCAGAGTACAGTTTCCCCCCCCTGCCTGCTTCCAATGAGATCAGTGTGTGTGTGTGTGTGTGAGTAAGTGGAGAGGATTTGTCACAGTTCATTTAGACTGTAAACTGATGAGGCCTAGTAAAAGACTAGCTTGCTGCTCTCTCTGCTCTTCTGTTCTGTAGGGTCTAGGAGTGGACAGGCAGACTAGCTTGCTGCTCTCTCTGCTCTTCTGTTCTGTAGGGTCTAGGAGTGGACAGACAGACTAGCTTGCTGCTCTCTGCTCTTCTGTTCTGTAGGGTCTAGGAGTGGACAGACAGACTAGCTTGATGCTCTCTGCTCTTCTGTTCTGTAGGGTCTAGGAGTGGACAGACAGACTAGCTTGCTGCTCTCTCTGCTCTTCTGTTCTGTAGGGTCTAGGAGTGGACAGACAGACTAGCTTGCTGCTCTCTGCTCTTCTGTTCTGTAGGGTCTAGGAGTGGACAGACAGACTAGCTTGCTGCTCTCTGCTCTTCTGTTCTGTAGGGTCTAGGAGTGGACAGACAGACTAGCTTGCTGCTCTCTCTGCTCTTCTGTTCTGTAGGGTCTAGGAGTGGACAGACAGACTAGCTTGCTGCTCTCTCTGCTCTTCTGTTCTGTAGGGTCTAGGAGTGGACAGACAGACTAGCTTGCTGCTCTCTGCTCTTCTGTTCTGTAGGATCTAGGAGTGGACAGACAGACTAGCTTGCTGCTCTCTCTGCTCTTCTGTTCTGTAGGGTCTAGGAGTGGACAGACAGACTAGCTTGCTGCTCTCTCTGCTCTTCTGTTCTGTAGGGTCTAGGAGTGGACAGACAGACTAGCTTGCTGCTCTCTCTGCTCTTCTGTTCTGTAGGGTCTAGGAGTGGACAGACAGACTAGCTTGCTGCTCTCTGCTCTTCTGTTCTGTAGGGTCTAGGAGTGGACAGACAGACTAGCTTGCTGCTCTCTCTGCTTTTCTGTTCTGTAGGGTCTAGGAGTGGACAGACAGACTAGCTTGCTGCTCTCTGCTCTTCTGTTCTGTAGGGTCTAGGAGTGGACAGACAGACTAGCTTGCTGCTCTCTCTGCTCTTCTGTTCTGTAGGGTCTAGGAGTGGACAGACAGACTAGCTTGCTGCTCTCTCTGCTCTTCTGTTCTGTAGGGTCTAGGAGTGGACAGACAGACTAGCTTGCTGCTCTCTGCTCTTCTGTTCTGTAGGGTCTAGGAGTGGACAGACAGACTAGCTTGCTGCTCTCTCTGCTCTTCTGTTCTGTAGGGTCTAGGAGTGGACAGACAGACTAGCTTGCTGCTCTCTGCTCTTCTGTTCTGTAGGGTCTAGGAGTGGACAGACAGACTAGCTTGCTGCTCTCTGCTCTTCTGTTCTGTAGGGTCTAGGAGTGGACAGACAGACTAGCTTGCTGCTCTCTGCTCTTCTGTTCTGTAGGGTCTAGGAGTGGACAGACAGACTAGCTTGCTGCTCTCTCTGCTCTTCTGTTCTGTAGGGTCTAGGAGTGGACAGACAGACTAGCTTGCTGCTCTCTCTGCTCTTCTGTTCTGTAGGGTCTAGGAGTGGACAGACAGACTAGCTTGCTGCTCTCTGCTCTTCTGTTCTGTAGGATCTAGGAGTGGACAGACAGACTAGCTTGCTGCTCTCTCTGCTCTTCTGTTCTGTAGGGTCTAGGAGTGGACAGACAGACTAGCTTGCTGCTCTCTCTGCTCTTCTGTTCTGTAGGGTCTAGGAGTGGACAGACAGACTAGCTTGCTGCTCTCTCTGCTCTTCTGTTCTGTAGGGTCTAGGAGTGGACAGACAGACTAGCTTGCTGCTCTCTGCTCTTCTGTTCTGTAGGGTCTAGGAGTGGACAGACAGACTAGCTTGCTGCTCTCTCTGCTTTTCTGTTCTGTAGGGTCTAGGAGTGGACAGACAGACTAGCTTGCTGCTCTCTGCTCTTCTGTTCTGTAGGGTCTAGGAGTGGACAGACAGACTAGCTTGCTGCTCTCTCTGCTCTTCTGTTCTGTAGGGTCTAGGAGTGGACAGACAGACTAGCTTGCTGCTCTCTCTGCTCTTCTGTTCTGTAGGGTCTAGGAGTGGACAGACAGACTAGCTTGCTGCTCTTCTGTTCTGTAGGGTCTAGGAGTGGACAGACAGACTAGCTTGCTGCTCTCTCTGCTCTTCTGTTCTGTAGGGTCTAGGAGTGGACAGACAGACTAGCTTGCTGCTCTCTGCTCTTCTGTTCTGTAGGGTCTAGGAGTGGACAGACAGACTAGCTTGCTGCTCTCTGCTCTTCTGTTCTGTAGGGTCTAGGAGTGGACAGACAGACTAGCTTGCTGCTCTCTGCTCTTCTGTTCTGTAGGGTCTAGGAGTGGATAGACAGACTAGCTTGCTGCTCTCTCTGCTCTTCTGTTCTGTAGGGTCTAGGAGTGGATAGACAGACTAGCTTGATGCTCTCTGCTCTTCTGTTCTGTAGGGTCTAGGAGTGGATAGACAGACTAGCTTGATGCTCTCTGCTCTTCTGTTCTGTAGGGTCTAGGAGTGGATAGACAGACTAGCTTGATGCTCTTCTGTTCTGTAGGGTCTAGGAGTGGACAGACAGAGTAGCTTGATGCTCTCTGCTCTTCTGTTCAGGCTGGGCCTGGCTCCCCATGGCTGCGCCCCTGCCCAGTCATGTGAAATCCATAAATTAGGGCCTAATGAATTTATTTCAATTGACTGATTTCCTTCTATGTACTGTAACTATTAACTATAAATATTTAAAATTGTTGTGTGTTGCATTTACATTTTTGTTCAGTATAATTTATTATCCTAATTAACATTCAGCCTTGCCTCTCTCTCAGGCAGATTAATATTGTAATGTGTCAACAAAACAACATGATGAATATTTATCATTCAAGATTACATATTTGTTCCACTTTGATAAT